TTCTGTTCTTAGTTTTGAATGCACTTTATCGTAGTGTCCTCTTGTGTCCTCTCATTCCCGTTTCACTGCTGGTGTGTGAGAACGGGTTCAAAGAGAAAACTGGGAGACAAATTCCAGAGGAAGCATAAAAGCCCATGGCAAAGGACGGGGGATATCGCAAAAGATAAAAGCTTCCCCCCCCAGTTTTTCCTCATTTCACTTTCTGACACAAAGGGATTGTGGGAGTCAACCAGCTACGCAGGCAGTCGCCATGTTGTTCAAGCCTGGCGTCTTTCAGGTGGGAATGAAATCATCATGCCAATTAGGGACTAGAAAACAAATGTGCTAGTTGGGCCAAATGGCTGCCTCTTGTTTCATTGAACAAAACAAAACCTACACTCACCCAAAGAAGGCTCCACGGCTGAAACACGTTTTCTTTCTTCTCTTTTCAGCATGGAATAAACCTATTACTTGATCCTTTGCACAAAAAAAAACCCATATACAAATATAAAAGTCCCAAAACATGAAGACAGCTTTTACCTAATTGAAAGTACAAATATATTCTTTACTGTATAATAAATGCCAAGAATTTAATGTTGGCAGTATAATATTAAAGTTCAAAATGTTCACTTCTTTTGAATAACTCCAGCCTTTTGTTTTCAATATTATCTTGTAAAGTTGTTTATACTGTACATTCCAAGAGCTATCAGCATGTGAAGTTTTTTCTGTGAAAGATTTAGAAGTTTTTTTTCTTTCAAGCACTTAGTTTTCAAGGCTTTGATTAAGACTGTATAAAAAATAACCAGTTATACTAATTCCCACTTATTGTAATACAGAAACACAGGGGGGGCAAACTGAACACCGAAAGGGCATTCTGTTCCCTAGTTGGTTTCAGGATGATTTGAAAATTATTTGCAATACTATGTTTATCCTTTGAGTGGAGAAAACTAAAATATTACTTCAGTGAAAAACAGAAAAAATAAGGAACCTATATAATGCAGTGAGTACATTTAAAACAATTCTGAAACTTCCAGGGAAAAAAAGATACTTTCTTGAATTTCATTTTCTATACAACGAAGTGTTAAAGCTCTGGAAAAAAAGGGTGAGAAAATGTTCCATTCGTAGGGCATACGGAAACACAAAGGGTTTAAACAGATTAAATATAAAAAAAATTAGGCTGACAGACCATTTTTAACCATTGGACTGTTAACGGTTTGCTCAACTGTTTAACTTTAGCACAAACCCTTTAATGCTGCATGACTCACTGTTCTGTGATTTTTGTCTTGCTCCAGTTGCACATCAATGCACCACTTTCTAAATGTGGCACTATCAGACACCGCTATACGACACAGCACTGAAAATAGATGATCACAAACTCTGCTTGAGTCATCTATGTAAAACAGTAGTATTTGTGATGCAGAGCGAAAGGACACTTCTTGTGAAAATAATGACTTAAAGAAGTCATTAAAGACCATGATGCTTCTCTGCTTTGCTCTCATATACTGCAATATGCTGCTTCAGAGACTGCAGGGCATGGGTAAATACATGCACTGCACCTGAACTCAAGACATGCAGAGAGACTGCTTTCAAGCATCAGGGATCATCTCCAAAGACTTTGAGGGCATTTGGGAAATAAATGGCAAACACATTTCAGGCTACATTACTATTGTACCAAGGCTCCACAGCCAAAATGTTGTGAATTTCTTCTCTTTTCAGCATGGAATAAACCTTTACTTCTTCCTTAGTAACTTTGGTGACTCTTTGATGACAGGATACAGAAACTGCTATGATTTGCCAATTATAAATTAAGGAGCTACTAAGACAATGGGTTAAACAAAATCTTACAAAACACCTACTGTCTGTATTAAGAAATGACACAGTCCTCAAGGAAAATAAGCCCACGAATTCTGCATTATAACACATATTGCTGCATTGCAGGAATATTAAATATCCTAAAATAAATTTAGCTTTGCACTCCTAAATTGGATAGAGAATGTAACATTCTCTAAAGCAGTCAGCTAACAACAGTGAATTTAATGTTTCCATATGTTTTTTGGCATGCTTTGCCATATCCTAGAATAAAAGACAGGGATAATGGTAATATTTTTACAGTTTATTGTATAATATAAAACTACAAAAGTAAGACTGCTCAATTTCATGTACACCTCCACTGTTCTGATACTACAGCCCACACCTTGGTGCAAATACAGTAATCAGTTTGTTGTTTTTCCAGATGAATATGTTGGTAATATTGCATAGAAAAAGGCACAGCTCCAAGGTCTGTGGAAAGAAATACAGCCTCCTTTCAAACAACTGCAGAGAACCCTTCCCCCACATGTATGTCTAAGGAGTTCACACTCCCTAACCCCCTGCAACAACATGAACACAATCTTCTGCACCAACTGGGAATGGCCGCTGTTTCATTAACACAATTTAGGCTGGGGTGGGTGGGATAGGAGAAAGTTTATAATAAAAACATTTAAAAGTTTTGAAAAGCTTCCATGAGGTACATTTTTTTAACGGAAATTTGGCATTAAGATTGACATTTTTATCAAGGAGCCTTTAGACTCCAATGTCTGTGATTAAAGTGTGGGTAAAATAAACGCCAACATCCCCAGCCTCCTAAAACCCACAGAGAAAGCCCTCCTCAGGCTCGGCCTAGGGAGTGTGAACAACACATTTGTACAGAAGACCAGAAACAAAAAAAAATGTTCAAACATGGCTTCCACCCTGGTTCCATACAAAACATACATTCCTAAAGAAGATTACATTCCTGCCATACATTCTGTACACATTACAATCCAGATGTTAGCGTCACAATAAAATAAATATATTTACACGGGAAATAAAGAATAAATAACTTAATGAAAACAAAAAAAAATCACTTCAAAACCAAAGATTTAATTATCACCATCATTGTTATTGCCCAGTCAGCTCTCTCCTGGTCACTGCTGCTGCAATTGTTCAACTAGCAATTTTATATACTGTAGTCATTCCAATATGTTTCAATACAGCGAGTCCTATCTGTTATCTGACATGACTGCACTGGGAATACCTTTGTCAAGGTCATGAGTTCATGTGTGTAAGAGTATTCACTCTGCTCAATGGCCATAACTACAGTGTAGTGAAGACAAAGAGTTTGAGCATAAAGGCTTTTAACATCAACTTCATTTTGGTCAGAGAGGGAGGGAGACATCCGAGATATAAAATGGTCTGTGAAGTTGGTGCACCAGTGGCCTGTGGTAATCTTTACTAGCACTGGCTTTAAAGCATTCAGCAGCAGCAGATGGGAAGACAATTTCTTGTGCGGGTGTGCACCGAGGATGCTGCGCTATGCAGAAAAAATACAATGTCTTCATCTCCTTGTCCACAGCACATTGGGAAGCTTTGCGTTTTGCATTTTTATTGTACTGATGAAAATAATTTCTTAACTTACCACACTAATTTAAAAAATCGCAATATCAGCATGCAGCATGTGGGATGAAGTAGTTTAAAATATGTTCTGTGTAATAACACATTTTATAGCCTATGTATATTATTTGGTCGTTTTATAAAGCCTGGGACTTTTAAAGGTATACAATGCAAAATGCTGTTTGCATATTTGGAATGAATGTCAGTAAAGTAGAATATTTCCATTTTATAATTAGCAAATAAAATAATGGTCCCTTTGAGTGCAAATTGTAGCTGAGACAGAGCTCTATCTTAAGAGGCAGCTGCATTAGCCTACTACTGTATGTGCTAGATCTGTAACCTGCTCTCCAGATGCCCACCTCCATTAAAAACTGAAGGAAACAAAGGAAGATCACATCTGACTGCTAAGTCTTTGCCAGGACTTGCAATAGTATCTCTCAAAAAGAGGTTTATGGAAATGTTAGTGTGTGTCTTTAAATCCCAGTGCAGATACCAAATCACAAATAAGGACCCCTACTGAAAAAAATGTATATTAGAAGATAAAAAGCTGCAACTTTAGTGCAGAGTGTACCAATCACCCTCTGCAAGTTCCTTCATCATATTGCCTCAAAAGCTGTGCAGTGATTCAAAGTGCCAGCCTGTAGCACTGCCTCATACAAGACAGATTCTGTCTGTTCAGTGATAAGGAGAGAGCAGACTGCACTTAAAACATTACTGGATGACATAGAACATGAAAAAACTTAAATAAATTAATATAAAAGTTACTCCTAAAGAAGCCATACTCATCTCAATATTATAGGTTGGAACCCTGCACACAAACATCTATAGTACCATTAAAAGGCTACAAATGCCATAGTAATTTTGGCAACAGGCATGATACATTGCAATAGTATCTATACTATAAATTTACAAGACAATGAATTTAATTTAAAACAAAACCATTTTGGTGCAATGGCGGGTTCGCGACAAGTTTGCAGGTTCAGATTCTTTAGGGATAACATGCATAGGAAACCAATTCTTTGTTTTTTTAGAAAAAAAAGTAATGTGAAATTGTAAAGCAATTACATCAGTGAAACAAGAGACTCTACAATATTGAAAATGCCAAGTGATGTAATGGTCTTGGCTCCTAGTTTCTGGAGTGGAGGCAGGTCACATATAGCTCACCAGCTGTCAGTCTGAGTGAGGAACAGGCTGAAGTGCAATGGTACTCAGGCTAACAGGGTACTTTCTGCTTCTGCAAAGCCCTGGCTGAACTGTATGGGAAGGCAGAAGGTCAAAGCTCTCCTACAACATGCGTATAAGGAATGTCTGTCAATTCATTGTAATGCTGCATTGTAGGTCTTTTTAAAAACAGTTCTCTTATAAAGGTATCAAAAACATGATGATTTCACTCTGTTTCTGTACTTACATACTGTACAGTATGCAATGTGTTTCCATGTTTCTGCTGTGAATACAACAGAAATAATCAGTTTTAAAGCAAAGGGTAAATATATGTATTTTTACAGCTCACATGGCTATTTAACTTTTACATGGTAAAGAAATTAATTATATCAACTCTATCTATAAGCTTACAAATAAAATAAATTAAAAATCATGGTCAATTAACCATTATACATTTACATACATAATGGTTACATATACATTGTATATATTTATACACATTTTTTAAAATATTCAATCCTTGACATCTTAATTTAATGGCTCTGGAGACTAAAGTTTCATGTGTTTGACCAACATTTGTCACAGTGAGCGGTTTGTGAGAAAATTTATTGCCAGGAGAGAGAAGCACAAAATCGATGGTGACGTTTTAGTTCAACCTTTGAAAATACACATGAATATTTGACTGAAACCCCGCAGACATTGCTGAAAGTACATTTGCACCCAGTGAAGTTCTAATGCAAATTAATTTGCTCCAGTATTTTGAAGTATTCACATATAGAATGTCACAATATTGTTATAAAAGTACAAGCCAGTGTTGTACATTTGAAATCCTAGGAGATCAGTGAGCATGTCCTATCAAAATAGCTACTTTTTTACGAGTAAAAACTTTTGTAGGTCTTTTAGAAAACAATACCATTCGATTGCAGAATCAGTATAAAAATATAAAATAATTTTGGGCAGCAGTTTTAAACAGCCATGTTATGCAACAGTCAGTTTAGTTAATGCCAGAGGTGACAGAACTGAATCAAAACAGGGCAATGAAACAGGTCGGAGAAAAAGAAAGATTAAATAACACTTGCCTTGATAAACATTGCTCAACAGTAAAAAAAAAACAATGCACATGCAACACAATCCTTTGTTGTATATACTCCTTGTGCTTAGCATTTGAAGTTCATTCTTTGCACCAGAATAAAACTGTTTGTGGGAGTTATCAAGTCTTCTGTAGGTAGTCATGTCTTTTTAGATGACTTTTCTTAAAAAATAAAGACAAATAACAGAACCGGAATTTACAAAGTGGTCATACACAGATGAAGGCACTCAAACTCTGCTAGAAGCCTAGTGTGATCCTTAATTTCTTCTTTTTCTTGGAAAGGCAAGCAAAGATGCATGCACAGTGTTGTGAAGTACTGGGTGTTGTCATTATTACCAGTATATAAAACTGTACAAAAAAAAGTAAGGGGTTCCTGTAGAAAGTTTCTTTGATTTTATTTTCCTGTCGATCAGGAGCCCACAAGCACTTCCATGATGTGGTCCAGTTCCGTCAGGTCCATTTTAAAAGGCTGATTTGGGGTTACCGGTTGGTTGTTGTATGGAGATAAGGTCTTGAGGAGGTCGTCGGCAGTTACCGGAGCAATTTTGGAGGTGGTTCCCGTGGCAGACGTGCAAGGGTCGAAATCGTACATCGAGGTGTCGATATCGGCAAAGAGGATGTCATCCAGGGCCAGGTCTGTGAGGAAACCCGTGGAAGTCGTGATCTCCAGGTTACTGGAGGGAAGGGAGTCCATCAGTCTGGATTCGGCTGCTGCTGCCACTTTGCTCTCCTGCTGCGCGGTCAGTCCTTCAAACTTTTGGCTACACACCTTGCCGCCATCTTTCGAGTTTAACGCGGAGGGCGGCTGGGGGAGAGGGGAGGCCGGGGTCACGGCTCCGGGGGAGGTAGTTGTCGGACAGAGCTCCTCGATTTCGTCCAAGGCCGAGGAGAAGCTGTCCTTCACGGCCGCCGTGGGCGGCTTGGCTGGGCCGTCGGGGTGAGGGAGGAGGTGGGCGGCCGAGGACGACGATGTGCAAAAGGAAGAGGCGTCGTCCTCCAGGAGCGAGGCCGGGGTGAGGCAGGATTCCAGTGGCGTGGTGCTCGCGAGCAGAGAGGGCTGCGCGGGGGGGGACAGGCCGCCGAAGGCCGGCTGCGCCTCGCGGTAGCCCTCGTCCAGGGCGTCGTCGGCCGGCTGGGAGGCGGAAAAGAACATCGGCCGCAGGCTGCCCTCCTGCTTGAGCTCCTCCTGGATCCGCCGCAGCATGTTGTTGATGAGCACCCGCTTCTCCAGGCTGGGCTCAGTCAGGGCCCGGTGATTGTACAGCTTCATGAGGGAGATGTTGAAGATGGTCTGCCTCTGCAGGGTGTAGGACACCTTGGAAGGGCCGTCCCCTCCGGGCGCCCCCGCCGCCGCCACCGCCTTGCCTTCCAGTCCATCGTCATTCTCGTCCAGCTTGCGCTTTGCCCCTTTACCCAACATATATCTGCAAGACAGAAGCGAGACCAGTCAGCGTTAACCCACACCAGCCCCTGCGCACACAGGCAACGAAGCCAGCGGGGACCGTTGCAGAACTCCCCCGCGACTCGCGGTCCGCCCCCCTGAATTTCCGAGCGCGAAGAGAAACGTGATAAAGTCCCAGACGAAACCTTCTTCTTAACCCGGGAGCAGCGCTACAAGATTCAAAAGTCGACTGCAGTGGTCCCAGAAACCACCCCACTTGATTTCGGCCTTCTTCGAGAGTAACGTAAGAGAGTGCTTGCGTTGTGAAACTTACCGGGAAACACCACGTCACGACATGGAAAACAATTCAAGCTGAACAAAACTAGAGTAAGCATATTAACCATAGTTAAAAAGACACTGAATTCTGCTTCTTTCTGCGAACGCAATAAAAAATAAAAAGGTGATGGCAATGCTGAGAGAACAAACCAAAGTAACATCAGTTCAGAAAAAGTAGCCAGAAAAATCAACCAGCTGCAGTAAATTCAGTTTATTCAGCTGAGGGAGACCTTCGGCAATGCTAATGAAAACCCTTTCGTGGAAAACCAATCATTGAAAACCACTACCAAATCTGGTCATGAAAATACAAAGGATTTACAACTTAAATGGGACCTTTAAAAAGCCTTCTGAGAATTGAGAGGTTACTGCATTTCTTTACTCTGTGTCTAGTTCATTTCGAGCATCCGAAATTATAGGGGAGGATGGTGATCATAAAATGACCAACCATTACACAAATTTAGTGGGGCTAGTTCAATAACAGGCAGGTGAGCGTAGCTATGGTCCAGTTGTAGGAGTATATTGTGCAGAAATGTGATGACTTTTAACAACCAGCATCACCTGTTAGAAAATAAAACATACTCTTAAGGACCTGCTACTGTGTGAATAAATAATTTTAAATACATGCGCACATTTTGAAGTTCAAATCTAAAGGTTTACAGAATTACAGGATTATAGGAAAATCAGAAATTCTGTCATCCAACAGGAGGTAAAGCTAATTTTCAATGTTAATGACGTCTCTCTGTAGCTTTAGAAAAAATAATTGTTTTACTTTGTCAACTAGTCAGCAATTGCAACCCATATTGTTGCATTTACCCTAGGCATCTCTACATATACACACAGAATAGCAGATGTTGAAAATATGTATAGATACGCTGCAAACACACAGCACAGTATTTATCACGTTCCAGGTTTACACATAGTATGGGAACAGCAATCGCAAAGCATGTTGCCATCAAAGCAATAGGTAAATAGCATTTGCCTTTAGAAAATAAACATATCTGAAAAAGAAAAACCATCAGGCACATTGATTAGATGTATTTTTACCTTGACACCATATATCATGATCTGAAAAATAAAATGAATAATATAGCATATATCTAATTTAGTAAACATTGGACTACACCCAGTATGAACACCAAATTCAGTTTCCACCTTCCTTTGCAACTTAATAAAGGAAATTTTAAATGGAAGTTCTGTAACTTAATTTACGGTACAGGAAACATTCTTAAGCAAATTTGAGTGAAAATAAATTATCAACATACTGCTGCTTATGTGAGCTTCCAGGAAGTCTGTAGCTGTTTCTGACTTCCTGTATAAATGGCCATACAGCTAATAGACATTTAAAAAAATACTAACCATAAATGAGCTGTTTTGCACACAAAAGAGTATCAATGACTGAAGAAAGACTCAAAATCCTAAACTTGCCCACCCAGAAATCAAAAACATGTTACTACAAGTAGTAACAACAAAGTACATCTTTCTCAAACTTAGCGACTCGGTACTGCTAAATAACATCACTTTCACTTTCAATAACAAATTTATTATTTTACATAACGAAACGTATTTCTATATATCCGTAAGACAATGTACAATTTTAATAGATTTTTTAATTGATATTTCTTTTGTTCTATGTCATTGTTTTGTGTTTTTTTCTTGTGTGTGATGTGTGGTAATGCCCATGATTGAAATATTCCACCATCACATGATTACTCACTATGACATGAAAAATCATCGGCACCTCTGTGCCCCAAATCAGCAAGAAATGTGACAAGAAAAACGTAAGATTAATGTCGCACACTAAAAACACACAAATGCTTCTGGAAACAAATTAGTTAGCTAAAGAAAAATGAAATCATTCCCACATGACTAAGAACATTTCAGCCAGCTTTTGAAGTGGAATAATGACAGATAGGTTGCCGTCAAAGCAATACGTAAATAGCATTTGTTTTAAGAAAATAAGCATATCTGAAATATAGTATATGATGTATATGATAACATCTCAAACTTATCACTAAAAGAGTGGTTAGCTAAGTAGACCATACAATTATTTCCACTACATTAAAAACACTTTTTCAGGCTAGGCTATCAGTAAAGAACACCACTGCATTAAAAAAGTAAAATAAAAAAGTCAATAAAAACTTAAAGGGGCCAAGCTTACCGTTTCTTGTTTTTTAACCACCCGATCCCCTACACACAACATACTGTAGTCTCAGAAGCAGAGGTGCTGTTGCGAGTGGAAGTCCTGCCAGGCTGACAAATGAACAGCTCTCCCTCTGCTTATCGAGTCTCGGGCTCAATTCTAAGCAACCAAGTTCTCAGGAAGTAGAAGCGGTTGAGCCAGCCGACTCGCTGGCGTTACCATGACGAGCAAGTCAGCTGGGAATCCACCTGTGGGGGGGTTTAACCCTACGCTGCTGTTGTCGTGACAAGCAGAACTCAGAAAGTCACGATCCGAGTTAAAAAAAGGACCTCAGTACAGTTTAAAAACAGAAAATAAAAAGCAGGCAGCCGGCACAGCATAAATCCAACAACGTTGGGGGGGGGGGGGGTAATTGTGAGAAGCGTCCAAAGCCGGCTGTATGAGGTCCTTCCCCCCCTCGAAGTGCAGGCGGGAGTTTCTACATGGTGCTCTTTGAAAGAGCCAGATGCCTCCCTAGCCCCACCTTGTACACCCGATATGTGAATTTTGTTTAACCAGAAATTACTCACTTCACATGTGTGCGGTACTGTGCAGGCAGTGGCTGGCTGCCTGGGTCCAAAGGCTGGAAGCCGAGGTGGGAGAGACCAGCTCCTGGAGCAGGCCTGGAGCAGGCCTGGCACTCAGCTACAGAGCCTCCTCGACTGACATCCTGCGCAGCATGAGCAGAAGCGTGTTCTAGACCTCTGCTTTAGAGGCTCCTAGAAGTTAACAATGCTATAATGTACAGTAGAAAAAAAAAAAACACACTGACACAACGTTTCTACAGTCCTGTGCCGAAAAGAGTTCTGCAAAAAATACTTAATGTAGTAACAAAAAAAGTAACTCTGTTGGAACAGTTAATGAGGACTATTACATTCTCTGGTTGAAGTCATATTTTTGACCGGACAGTTGGATACAGCTCTTCACAAAAGACTTTTAAAAAAAAAACTATCTGATCAATGGTCTTGTTTAAAGTATCTGTCTCCTTTTAACTAGGCACTGTGCTTTTCAGACTTAAAGTAAACATGATTATTTATTAGTTTTTGTGCCAATGAGTGTACTGGTGTTCGTCAAACCAAGTTCTGTGTACAGATGACTATATAACCAACCATCATTTTTACCCACGTTTAATAAAAGCTTGAACCTATATACAAATAATAAGCAGGTTCTGGTCAAAGGAAAGGTTCTGAAATATTTACTGGTCCAAAAGCAGCTTGAAGCTAAAGAAAGAATACAGATTAGCACAATACAAATTGAAGTAATATTGATTGATAAAATTTTATTTTAATTTGGAAAACAAATCTTTTCCTTTGAAGAACATTCTAAAGGGCCTGGAAAACACTTACTTTGCAGCTAATCCAGTAGTTTCCTAGATACAACATGTTCCAAATTTTAGTAGTCTGCTAGTACTGTTTTTAGGAACAGTAACAATGAGGGTTTGGCCAGAGATGTAAAGACATTTGTATATTTTACAACATCATTGCACTATAACACCATCCTCTTAAAACAGTTACAGGACTTGCCATCTTCTGTACTGACTAAACACAAAACGCATTACTAGGAGTTACCATATCTAGCTTTAAACATTAGGCCATCATTTGCTGTTTTCTTAGGGCACAGAAGTGTAATCAGTAGGCTACAAGAAGAATTACCGTCAGAACTACAGTACTGTAAAAAAGGTCCCGCAAACTGCTCTATCCGTGGACACATTTCACAGAATTCCCACCATTGAAAACATTTTTTCTCTCCTTTGCCTACAAAATATATTAGATAAACCTAGCACAAATCCTCCACCAAAAAAGAAAGAAAAAAACAACTGCAAGAAAATGAAAATCAACCAATAGCTGTGGCTAGGCGCATCCCCAAAAAAAATGTGAATAGAGACAGAGCTTCTCATGATATTATGATACTGTAACTTGATACAGCTGTTTCCATCCCTGTGTTGAGCTCTCCTCCCTTCCTTCTCTACTCACAATATATTATTTCGCTGGTGTCCTGGCCAAATTTCTTCCGGCCTTTACCAATCATGGCCTTCTAATAACCCCTTCTATGAACTGGCTTCATCCCCACCGATAGTTGGTGTGTGACGAGTGTATTGTGCGCACTTTGGCTGCTGTCACATCATTCAGGTGGGGGCTACACATCAGAGGGTAATCCCCATGACCTGTAAAGCACTTTGAGCGGCGTGTCCAGAAAAGGGCTATATAGGTGTAAGGAATTATTATTAGTAGTAGTAGTTGTTGAAGTACTGAGGCCACTGTCAGCTCTTTGTGTTTGTAAGTAGTCACATATCGCGATGAAACCTACCCACAGAGGCTCCATTGTCCACAAGCTGTTCTCATAATTCTATGCCCTCTTTAAAATATTTCAAATGGGGGCAGGTAGATTTGCAGCAAAATAACAGTGGAAGACAACACGTCTGTGTATCTCCTTGCCTTGATGTACAGTGCTTACAAGGCGCATGCTAGTTAATGCACAGTTTGCAAGGCACAAGTGTGGCGCTGGTGCACAGGGAGTTCAAGGCCACTGGGAAGACTCCTTACTGCGGCACCCATGGCTGTTCCCCCGATTCTGAACTGGAATCAGGGGACAGGAGCTTTCCCCTTTACAGTCCGCTGGTGCCATGCGGGTCAGCAGATATCTGGAAGTACAGTTTGTACCAATGAGCACCAAAAAAACAACCCAAAGTGGAAAGTAATACTGGCTAAATAACAGTGGAAAAAACAAGGTTCACTATTCTGTTTCTGTCTGGTACCCTTTACTGAAGCAAACAGAGATATACACAGCTTACAAATGTAAGACTTTTAGTCAGGGTTTCCTGAGTAAGCAACTCGGCACCAGGTTTTGGAAAAGTACAGGACAACTATTTTGATGATTTCCAGAACAGTATCTTGAAGCCAAATTAGTGTAACATTTTGATCATCTTTTCCACTGCAGAACATAAAAAGGTCACAAGGAGGCCTATAATGTTGAAAGTGCTGGCGAGGACGAGGGGCTCACAACCCTCTGAGGCAGTGGTTTCCAATCCTGGTCTTGGTGCCTCACATACCTGAAGTTTTTATTCCAGCCCACCTTCAGCAGATAACTGAAACCTTGCATGATCCATGATGTTACTTCAATTGAATATCTGCATTTTGTTTCTAATCATACAGTAAGTTTGTGACTTTATTTCACTTACAAAATAAAACTTAAAAAACAGTTAAAGCTCCAACACGTGAACAAACAGTTTACATTAATCTTATTATAATGAACTGAATGAAGGGTTTGATTGACTGAGGGCTCAGATGGAACAGGCTGGACTGGGAACCAGTGCTCTAAGGAACACTACACCATTGCAAATGTGACCTCCTTACTTACAAATACTAGAACTAGCTAAGGAGATACACACTGATTGTAGGTAGCATAGTAACCACTTGGATACCATATATATTCTGCAACACACTAAGGGTATAGATTTACACCAAAACTGAAGACCTACAGTATAATTAACAAATAATAAAATTGCAGCTAGGGTACATAGATGAAGATTTAAATTGCAGCCTAATCTCTAGGAAGACTGTGGTCGTAAAGATGACAAATTTACTGATGGCATCCCTGCAAGAGCTGTATTTTTGCAGGGATTTTTCTCCTTAAAACCTAATGCAATGGTAAAGCTTTTTGGTTATGCTTTTCTAAAACACTTGCTTGAAAATACCTGCTTTAAACAGCATAAAACAACACAAAAATGAACAATGATTTCAAGATTGTTTAATAATCATATTTTATTTTAAAAAACCTACACCAAACTGATCCATGCAGCCATTACTGCAAAATAATTCAGAACAGAAAACTTCTTAAGAAAAACAACTATCACACAGCTTCACTTGCATACCTTAGGAGGTGCTCTCCAGGTAAATGTACAAATTGTGCAGGTTTTTCCTCTCCTGTGTTATCGCTGAAGGGACATGGTGCTGGCCTGCACACATACAAAACTGGTCAGACCTGCTTCGTAAGTCATAGAAAGTTCTGCAGGACTCAAATACCAAGCACTGAGCTTTTCACAGTTACCAACCCCTTTATAGGAAATCATCTGGACAGCTAACATTCAATGACTAATCATTTGATGATTAAGAGTTGTATGACAGGAGTTGAGGTGGGTTTTACAGAAATGTGTTGTGAAATGGTATAAACGAAGGATGCAATATCGCAGTCATACAGAAATATCTGTCCTTACTACTGTGGCTGTGTTAATGCACAGTAACTGTAAGCACTGTTCCCGGCACTGATTACAACTGTATGTAGAAGATGCCAAAACACATTCATTTACTTGTCAAAAAAAGGATTTCAATTTTCCTACATTTTAGATTAATCCTACATTTATTTTGGACTTTCAGTAGTGTACTCGAAGGAATTTGAGCAGGGATGCTTCTTAAAAAGTCCACTATAATGACACCAATAGCTCTCCTCTTGGGATGTGAAAAAAATCACAATCAGCAGCCCTGACAAGCTCGTTAGGAAGCATGCTGCCAGACAGATTCACTGCTGACGTGCTTTCAGTGCTGAGAATCCTTCATACACCTTGAACTCCATCTTCCTCTGAAACAAGGTGAGGGAGAGATGTTTTTATGGTCAAAATGGAAGAGTGATGGAATATGTGCCACACTACAATACAGAAAACCTTCCTTACTCTTCTGAAAATGAGATACTGTGAAAAGCCATAATGAGGGATATCACAGTTTTTATGCATAAATATCCATATATACTTTTCTGCAAAGTATGTGAATGAACCCAATTTAACTTTAATTTCAATTTTTTGCACAAATGCTCTGTCTAAAGCAGAATTAGGGAAAATCTATTATTAAAGTATTATCAAACCCAACAAGAACAACACTTAACCCTGCATGTTTCTGTGACACTTGCACAAAATGCTTCCATTTAAAATGATCATTATTATTCTTGTATTACAGTTCTTAGTCTTCTCATTGCCATTCTAGAATTTTGCAGATAACAGCAAAGCCTTTGAGTACTGTACAAAAAGACCAAATGCCCCAGGAAAAACAAAATGATATCAATCCCCTCCTACAAACATGACAAGCTTTTAATTTTCCATGGCAGACTAATTAAAGCCCTGTTTGCTAAAAAAAGGAAGCCCTAAAAGGAGAGCTAGGAGCAGAGACTTTTTACTGTCTGAAAAGAAATGTAAAGCTATCCTGATGGGCTGGTGAAAGAGGATGTACTGACTTTTGCGACAGGGTACTTTCCTGTCACGCTTCTCAGCTGTAATCTGGAGGAGGTACCGGCACATTTGCTCTGATCATCGTTTCAAACTCACCAGGAAAATACCTTGCTAATATACACAGAATGGCACATAAACAACAGCCTGCTTATTGCATAGCAGCTGAGTTAGGATTACAGTAGGTCTAATCATTTTTGTTTTTTGTACTGGTGACTATTATTTGACACTCCTTAGATAACGCACTAAAACACTTGTTCAGTACTGCCCTCTGAAGAAAGGGCATCATGCTGAGGCTGGGGGGTTTAAAATCAGACTTTCATATACTTTATTGATCCCGTGAGGGAAACTGCAGAGCAAACTACAAGTATACGCATAGGATTATACACGCTGCAATATTTCAAATACATGTTCCAATGTTCGACTGCCAGAACAATAAATAGGTTATACAAGAGCTTCAACAAAAACCAAATTCACCCTGTTGACTTTAAAATGCCGAGTGTTGAAGGAAAGAAGCCTCACGGACAACGATGTACTGTATTTTAATGGAATTTTACAATTAGACACATTTAGCAGACCTTGATCGCTCTCTAGTGTGTGCAGTATTCGCTCTTTGCACTGTGTAATCGCAGCCCTCTCTTTCTGACACAGATTCTTTGCCAAGGAAATGTTGCAACCGAAGCTATCATCTTATGTGCCACATTCTCAGACTTCCAAAAATAAATGGAGAAGATAAAAAAAACTAACAAGAAGGAAGATTCTAAAAATCAGGTCATTAGACATGTCTACATGTAGGAGGAAACTTGACTTTTTAGAAGCTACACTGATATATTCAAGACTCGTATACAGTACAATATATGACGGACTTACCAAAACATTTTAAATGTAGACATCAAACAAAAATACAGATCAAACAATTGCAATTCATTTTAAATATGAAGGGTGATGCAGTGCCAAAATGAAACCACTACAAAGTTAGTGTCTGGTCTGCCTGAGCATCACAGTCTTGGAAGTACAGATCCACAGACCTCCACAGACCAGCTTTGGACAAACAGATGTGCGGTATTGTGCCAATCTTCCTGTGAAGCTGCAGCCTGCTAGCAAACGACGGCCAGTCACAGTGGTCTTCTGCCGACAGCGTCGGTGGGTTGATCCCACAGATGTTCCACTGGACTCCAGACAAGAGAAACAGCTGGCCATCGCAAGACCTTGACATTGATTTCTTGAAGCTGTGCCTTTATAATTTCAGCACTGTGTGGTCCTGCTGGAAAACTTCACTTCTGGATTGGCTTGCAGGAAAGGAAAAAACTTTTGGCTCAAAACGTTTGTCAGTGCATCACGGAGTACCTAAAGTTTGCCCTCCATCTCCATCAAGGGTGTCCTTGTGTTAAAAGAGATTCCATATTACTTCACCACACTTCTACCACCCCTCCTCTTGGCTGAAACAATGTGGCGGACAGCATAATGTTCACCATGCTGGCTCCACACACAATGTCTTCTGTCAGGTCTGTCAAGCGCCATACAGCGTTCATTAGTATATAAAGCACTCCACCAGTTCTAATGTCCTCTGGCCCACAGAAGATGGCAAATCTGTCTCTCAACTGTCAACAACCTCAAGGAAAAGCCACAGAGCACTCATGCAGACAACACAACACAGTTATTCTAATAAGAAGCGTGTTGTTTCCTCCCAAATGCGTCATACTGTGCCTCCATCCTGTCCCTCACAGAGCTGGGGTCTCCTCTGAACTCATCTCCTGCTTCATGAACATCTCACTCCTCAATCAACTACTCTCAGTCATGCCAATAGCAACCAGGTGTACTTAATTAGTCGAGAAGAACCTCACTGTATTTGTCCCAGTGGTTTTGTGTTAACTCAAGTGTCTTAAACAGCTCTTTATACTGATTCTTAAGTAATTTCTACAAATTTATCAAATTCTAATTCTAATCAAATATCAAACAAATGACCTGGAGTTTTTATGAAATCAACATGGTGAAGCTCTAGATTTTGTAGAAGCAATACTAATCAATGAAACTATTTTATCTTAAAACATGAATGACATTACAGTTTGTAGATGCCTAACAAGACTTACTGGGCATCATATTGATCTTTGTGTAATATTTCTTAAATTTGAAGTGCACGTTTACAAAACTTCACACCCGAACACTCAGTTTTGTAAACAATTTTAAAAAATCAGTTCCTTGTGCTGTAATACTTTGATGCAAAAGCAGATAAAACCATCTTAAATAATGTTGGCTAATATAAAAGCCACTGTAGATACATAGTCCTATACAAGTGACTGGCTTCTCAAACTAATTTATCCCTTCTGACCTGTTGGCTTGATTCAATTAAATATGTCAATAAGTCAGCTAATATAAACTGTTGAACATATTGTAGCGTGAACCTTTGGATCTACAGAAACCAGACTTTCGCCTTCATTTAAAAGGAACTTCTTATGTGCACACCACAACTGTAGATCAATCTGGCACCCTGGTTTCTAAAATTTACATTTACAAATATCAACACATAATTCTCTCTAAACTTGATTTGCACAGTTTATATAATATGCCAAAACAGAAAACGAATTCCAAAACATAACAGTTGTAACTCTAATCATACGATACAAAAAATGCACGTACAGAATGTACATGTACTGTGATTATAAATATGACCTCCAAGCCTGACGAATTGAAGAATCTGTGCTATCCTTGCGGAACACGTGCAGAGATATTAATACATGATAAAGGGCCAATGAGCCTGTCCGACAACTTTACACCTGGCTCACGGGCTTAAATATAGAACTGAATGGGTTTTCAATGCTGTGAGCCGACACCGGGTGTCCAAGTTAAAAAAAAAATCCTGCAGCAGCATTTGCCAAACTTTATTCGGGAGTGCGCAACAATAATATTGACATGTTTTTAAAAAGAAGGTTTTCTACTCTCGGCATTCATGGCTAACTGGGGAGAAGCATTTAGAAAATATTGTTTCACAAAAACAAATATTTTACTGTGAGGGTTTCCGCAACGTTTTTTTTCTTCCGAAAAGTGACTTGTCTTGAAGAGTAAGAGCTTCTTCGATCAACTGCGCTATGATACTTACTACGTCTAAATAAATTATAAACGGGGACAAGAAGCAGCATGTGACATAAGGCGAGTTACACTGCTAAGAAACCTCGCCTCCGTCTCATTACACCAGTTAAAGTTAAAGGCTAGGTGCATCGTACTGAAATCGTTATGTAGTTGCCAACTGTAACACATAATTTACCGATTAAAATATTACCCAATGAATCAATGGCACTACAAAATAAAAACCGAATCAGTAATCAGATTTTAGAACCATACTGTAGGCCGTCTCAGACGAATGCTTTTCCATTTTTTTTCGGCACAGTGAAACACGAAACTGAGTCCTTTCATTTCCTTGAAGTTAGCCAACTCAAGCGCTCTTACCGCTGAGCCCGAGTCCACAGAAAACGGGAAATATTAAAAAAAAAGGGTGAACGCCAAAGGCTCTAACTGGGAGGTCAACCAGAGGCGTTAACTGACCTACATGCAGCTAAACTTTACACACTGACGCGTACGAGCACTGTCTGAAGGCAAAACAGTGTAACACCATGACTATTTGTATTTGAGAAATATCAATTTTCAACAACAACAAACAATGTGAATCGCAGTACTTAAAACAAATGTGAAAAAAGTATGTGCAAAATTAAAAAGCGTGCCGTCGATCTTTACTTAAAGGTTTTGTTTAGGGTTTTTTTTTTGTGGGGGGGGTTTGCATAACCCAAGTTGCAGTACTGTACAGCAGCCGGTGCTCTTTAGCTACTCATACGGACACCGGCTCCTGTTAAGCTAATGCCTAACGAAGATTTCGTTTACAAGGGAAGACAACTTACTATCGTGCATTTTATCGGCAAGCTGTTACAAAAGCTTAAACTTACCACATGCAGTTCCACCTGAGAATTTAAATAAAGCATCGGGGTCACCGTCTGGCGAACAGGGCTAGCTTCATGCCACTCAGAAAACTGCATCGGCAACTCCTCACATTGTCGCCCTCACTTTCCACCTCCGGGTTCTCTTACGAGCACAGACCTTCACACAATGGCGAGGGGGGGTAAATCCGCACGACCACTGATGGAAAGCGAGAAAAGAGCTGCCCCTATTCCAACAGCTCGAAAGCTGCCCCCCGAAAGAATGACGTCAAGCGAAGCTGTGGCTCCGCTGCTGCCGTCTGCCTGCCTGCCGACTACACCGCGTCTGGCCTCAGCGAGGTCCGCCCCTCACACACACATTCACTCACCCTCACCATCTCTCTCTAACCCCCCTCCCTCTTTCGTTTTACACTAGGCAGCTGGAAGCAAGCAGCGACTACAGCCACAGCAAGCAAGGCTACACACGCTCCTACTCGGGATAAATAGCCAATCAGATCCAGGATTCAGGCTGTGAGCTCCAGGTCTCTCATGTCTGTTACATGTGCCTTTATCCCCGGGGGGGCAAAAGTGCTCATATAAATCTCATGCCGCTGCCAGTAGCCCTGCCTGCGCAACATCAGGATTCCAAGAGTAACACTAGACAGCCAAGCAAGTATTACAACACGGCCAGTGACAATAAGGAGCCCGACTCCTGCACCCACTGCTGGGAAGCAAGGGGAAAAAAAACTTGCTGCAAAACGAGCAACCGCAAATATTTCAAGCATTTAAGTTATTCAACAACTTGAAACCGGTCAACAGCTTCACCTCCTCAATTACCAAACATGTTTTTGAGCACAGCAAAGAGAAGTCAAGTAGCTGCAGAATTTTCCCCCCACAAAACTAACTTTTTACATGCACACATGATTTCAGCCGTGCAGATTTACAAACATCCCATTAAGTATAATACTTCTGAAAAGCGAACGGAAATCTTACTAATTAATAATATGAAAACATATTATTATAAAATATTTAAGGGTGTGGTGAGAAATATTGGGATGAGTGTTAGAGGTGTCTATAAACATGTTTTTTTGGTGAGAGTGGTGATATTAGTCAGACTTGAAGTCACATCTCCTTACCTTTCTCATGAATTAGGCGTCTTTTGTTATTTGGTTAGCCATTCATTAACAGCATGGTCTCCACAAAAACAAATATTAATTGTTGCCACCCCCACCCCCATCTCTCTTGTGTGGACATTTTTACAAACACGGGGATGTAAGTTTACAGACAATTGCTTTTGTGGATGTAAAACTTTGTCATTTCTATTTATCTATCAAGTAGCAATGAATGATTGATAAAGATCACCTTGATATATTCTTTCATATCACACAAGTTTAGTTTCGGTCAATCATTTAAGATTTTCATTTTAACATGTAATGTCCAATTTATATTTAACATACACAATGTACAGTATGGCCGATTTATTTTTAACTGCAGAGAAATCTTGTTAATAAAGGCAGATGCATTACACAAGTTAAAGGCTTTCGCATTCAAACAAATGCAGTCTACACACTCCACTTTCATACCAGGATATTTTTAACCTTTAGTCTTTATCCACTTAGTGGCCGATCAATAATGCAATTAGTTTCCCAATACAGGCAGGGGCATACAAGTGGTCAAAAGCAAAAGAGTGCATTCTTTTCTCTTGTTGTTTTGCTTTAATGCTGCATGAACATGGTGATCACGATTCAGAAAATCTCCTTATGAATTTATGAGCCAGTAATTAGATGACTTCCAATTCTATGAATTAAAGACCTCAGAATGTCTTTCACAGCACAGATTGAGAGTGTCTAATTTTCATATTTATCGCAATATAAACAATTCCTGTTTTTAGGGGCAAAAGAGTCCATACCTCTGGATAAGCAACATATTTCACACCTGAGAATCTGTTTTCTATTAATAAGGATACCTTAGGGCAGGGTTCTCAAATGTATTGTTCCTGAAGGGGCTTGTATCTTCTGTATTGTTTTTGGCCTCAGATCTCTATAACCTAGTTGGCCTAATTATTTAACTGCCTAATTGCAGTATTTCTAACAAGGTTCTGGATTTTTTTTTAGGTATCTACTTTTGATGAATAAATATTGAGTAATCAACTGTAAAAGACCTTACAAAAACTCGTATACATGACCAGCCTAAAAAAAGCATTGTTGAGTTGATTAATAAACTAAGTTTGGGGGTTGGAATGAATAACAGAAGGCACCAGATCCCCCAGGGCTGGAGTTTAAGACCCTTGCCTTCGGGTAAACTTTACTTCCAATGAGCCCTTAATGTGCAGATGGCAGGGAAGAAAGTTTTTGTGAAATGGAAACCTTGGAAGAAGAGAAACAGCACATGATCAGCTCTGGACATTTTCCTGTCTTGACTGCAGAATATTCACATTGAACTACTGTAAATACAGCCCTATGGGTGTGGAATATCTGTCTCGGGCAATTTGCAGTTGCAGTTTATTTATTACATTTTACACAATTTTGTGCATCGTGCAGTCCATAAAATATATACTAACATTTTTGAAAGGCATATATATGATGCACAAATATATAAAGTAATATATACTGAAAATTTAGAAATGTATACAATTCCTGAAATGTTACCCCCATTACCTCTAAATGGGATATAAGGTTCCAATATCATTGGAAGTCACAATCTGAGTACTGCCTGTTACCTTTTGTGTCACAGCAAGAAATGTGGGCATTTGAGTTTGCGGATACAAATATGTAAATCTTCGTCCACACATAGCCTAACAGCTACTGTACATAAAAAGCTTGAACACAGGTAAAATTCTAAACCCTCCTTGGAGCACAAAATTAAAGTTTTTATCCCTCTGCTCCTTTAAAAAGTATGAAACACCAATCACTGCTTCTCAGGAATACTTGGAAATGCACCACCAGTGATGAATACACATTATAAGAAAATGTTTAATATAGGCATTCAAGGTAAGGGTAAAGATTTAGCCAATTCTTAAATAAAAAACTATTCCTGGACCTCTTAAGATGTGGTAACCAAAGCTGTGAATAACACAGCTAAAGTAAAATAACCAAAAACATTTTCTGCAATTTTATTTTATGGAGGTGAGTGACAGACTGAAACGGAACTACACAGTAAAGGCCTGTGACGTACATCCACAGTGTACGGAAATAACTTAAAAAATTAGCTGAAATTAACCAGGATTTCCAAAAATGGCAACCTCTCTGCCCTCGCCAACCTAACTGGTAAAACGCTGTTTTTACATACAGTATGAAGGACATTACTGTAGCGCACTGCTACAGAAGGCACCAAGTTCAGCCTTCACCGGTAAGTTTGTTTTTAAGATAAAGTTTAAAAAAGTGTATTTTTAAAAATAAAATGACGGTATGCCTCCTCAATGCATTCAGGAAAGATATTCAAAATAGCACTAAATAACACTGAGTAGTACCGGACAGCGTCAAATGAGAATAAATTTCTCATCTTGGACTCTTATTATGAATACTAAACATACAATATTAATAAAATCTTCAAATCACTAGTCAAAGGTGAATTAAACATCAAAAGTATGCATGAGGCTCTGCTGTTTCATGTCTAGCGTCAGCGTCTGAATAACTTGCTTGTGTGACGAGACTTCGTAGCGTTTGTCGTCATTAGTATCCTGACAGGTACTCTACACACTCTGCCTAGAACCAGTTAATCAGGTATTTCAAATCAAGCTGCTGTAGCAACAAAAAGTGGACTTGGCTACAGTGACCAAACACAAGTCAACACAATCACTCAAACCACAGCTTCCACAGCCACGGGTGATGGAGTTCAAACGTCTCTGGGTGCTCAATACTAATTCAGTTGCTCCACCTAGAACCCTAATTGTATCAAAGGTCTGGATCTTCTGCATATACAGATCCTGAAGAGTTACTGTGTTGTCAGCTTTTGTGGGAACATGCACTGGAATACAATAGAGCCAAATGACAATCCGTCTTAGAACATTTTCCCTCCTTGAGTTTTTAATCTGGGGTTAAAGCATTTAAAAAACGCATCCTGTATGACTTTCCTTGTGGCAATGTCAAGTTGATACAATCCAGTCCTTTACCAGTGGCCAGCAGAAGCATTTATTCTTCTGGACCTATCTTTGCAAGATGTGTTTGTTTAGTCAATTGGGCAGCATGATGGGGCAGCGAATTTCAGTGATGGGGCCTGGGCTCAATTCCTGGGGTGATGCTTGCGTGGAGTTTTTTGGAGCCAGACTGTACTGGTAGGTGAATTGGCTTATGGGATACTTAGCCCTGGTGTGAGTTTGTGTCTGCATGTCTGTCCTTGTGTCTGTTGCTTGTGTCAGGCTCCAGCTACCCTGCAGAGAATTTAGATATTTATACAATATGGATGCACAAAATGCATATCTATCGATATATAAAATAATGTCCATTTTAAAATGTCATCTTAATTTAAACTTCATTAAATCAAATGAACAAGGTATTGTTGTAACCTATTGTGAAGTAATCATCCACAGCAGACCATCCTGTCATTCAATTCTAACCCAGGCAATATCTTTCTTAGTCAAACATGAACTGTATTTTACACAAATGAAGCAGTCTCTTTAATCATAATAACAACGAATAATGGAATAGCACTTAATAAACATTCCATATTGCCAAAAAAAACAGACTGGTGCCGAGGTACTGTAGTTACCTCTTTTCAAAAGTCTCGACCATATCTAACAATTCATTAAGAATTCAGAAGTAAAAAAAACCGACAGGATCATTGCTCCCTTCTAAACCATCAATGCAGCATAAGCTCAGAAGAAGTAGAATGCCTTTTAAAAGAGCGAGTATGTGCAGGTGTTTCTGAGTTCTGTGTGCAAATCACGGTGTACCCTTCCAAGAGCACCGTGGGAGAATGTGGCACAACCACTTGCTCCATTCGAAGACATCTGCTCTGTGCAGCCAATTGCCATGCAAGACCAAGCTGACCAGAAATTTACTGTGACCAGATGGCAAAATAAATCTCATGTCATCCTGCTTCCCACTGCACAGGTTGCAGGTTGTGTAATAATACCCCCACTCACACCCTGGAACCCAGTCCGTACTGCTAGCTTAGCTTCCATGGCACTGCGATGACAACAACGACATACCGATTCATCATCCCACAGCTCATTACAGCTCCTGCTTCTGTCGGGAGAATCACTTTATTATTATGAACACTAATTTCAACAAAAACTCTCTTTTGGTGAATAAAAAGGGCCAATGGGTGAAGAGTTTGTCGTCATATTGTATTAGCATAATTTTTCCAGTGGTCTGCATGATTCCAGACATCCACACATCCAGTACCTGTTCAACTTTCCAGACTTGTGCAAAGATCACTACACCACAGGACAAACAGACAGGGCCCTGGCACTTCCAAGGGAAGATGTCAACTTTGTTTCTTCTTCTACACTGGGTAATTTCCGTCACGTTCTCCTGTAACCGGAGACAGCTGCAGCACTCAGAGCAATGAGAAGAGCAACAAATTGCGTGTGAGCAGCACGAGCAGTGTTCATTGAGAGGCTAACCTAATCTTTGTGCTGTAATGCCAAATGTATCACTTTGGCTAAAAGTGATTTATTTTAAATGCTCCTGTATTTTAAATGCCCAACATTTGATTAAGAGCTCCTGTGATATGTACTTGATGAGTCCCTCCCTCCAATCACATTTCAGCTTTCTGAGGACTATACTAATA